CTAAATTGGGGACGGCTAGCGCAGATAGCCCTCGTGTAGCTTTGCGCGAAATTCAAAACAAACAAACAAACTGTCTTAATACTGATAACTAGTAATGTTACATAATATCCACAAATAAGATGTTTGACTTAATATTAATAACTAGTGGTTTAACGTAAGATTCAAAAATATAATTATCCGCAAGCTAAATGAATAATTATTACGCCACATGCTTACTTACCGCTTTTATTCAACTGAGCCTTCTTTCTCTTATATATCTAACCTATATAAAAGTCAGTGTGTGTGTCATGTTACGTCACGCTTGATTTCTCGAAATAGGAGAAGTCACAAAAGCCAAAAATGCATTTATCCAGACAGAATAATTCGATTACTGTCTGCCCATTACAATTCTAGTGATGTTGTGCAAGGGGGCCGTGAGGAAGAAGGTGCCGTGAAATCTTATAAGTGTAGTTTGATTGTAGTTAAAGCACAAACCTACACAAAGGGCTATCTGTGCTCTGCCCACCACGGGTATAGAAACCCGGTTTCTAGCAATGTAAGTCCGCAGACATACCGCTGTGCGACTGGGGGCTATAAGTGTAGTGAGTGTTGGTATAATAAGTCTAAATTAAAGTGGTAGTGTGGGATCACCTAGCCTAGAGCCAATTGCATAAAGTTGATCATGAGATTTAAAATATTGTTACGACAGCGGAAGTCACGCGTACACATATTGTTACGTCTATGGTTGTTTGTTAATTTTCCGTAGAAATTCTTTCCGAGAAACTTTAGCGATACAAGTCCTTTCTTAAATAAAACTAGTTTATTCTTTCTCAACTCAGCTTTGCAATATACTTAATTTCCACGGTCACTTTAACTTAAACACATGCTATAATTCACAAAGATTTACACGCTTTACTTACGGCTTGACTCGATTCTCTGTCTGTCTGCAATTCTATTCTCTGATTAATTAATTTCGCGTTATCTGGCGCACTTATATACAATAATAGAGGGCATGTAGAAAAGACCAGAGTTGCCAAGAACAGACATGATACTTCTAGAATATAATGACGTGTTACTAGCATCACGTGACTTCCGCTGTTGTAACAATATTTTCTATAGTACAAATGAATTTGTTTTTATTGCAGTTTGATTAGGGCTTTCTACTAGCAATCTGTGAGTTATGGAATCGAAACCTGTCGCTGGTCTTGCTCGCATTTGCACCTGTGGGGTCTTGTAATTAATTCCACTGTTTGTTGGTAAAGAGTTGTCGGTGGGTAGTGTTGACTAACTGTCTTCTATCTAATCAAAATTAGGGACGGTTAATGCAGATAGTCATCGAGTAACTTTGCGTGAAAATTCAAGGAAACAAACTATTCTATCGCAGTTTGTCATATATATTTTGCAAGACCTGCAAAAAGGGTCCCGATGGCAAATAAATCAACAAAAAATTAAAAATAATCGTTACTAAATATTTTTGTCTGAGAAACAAAGTATTTTCTAACACGAGAGGTCGTTGTTATCAAAGAAGCGTCTGTTGGAGTTTTAAAAGAATTAAATTAGTAACCCAAATGTCATCGAAAAGCGTTTGTATTATTAATTTTCGCAAGTCAATTTTTCTATATTTGCTGGATAATTACCTATAATGTTTGGCTTTTAATTTTCTTTCGAAATTCGATACTTTCTAAATTTTAGTGCAACGTCAAAACATGTAAAGACTCCAGTTAGTCAGGTTGCGTGCTATTATAGTATTAGTAGTACTACAGACGTAACGTTACCATAGTTGAGTTTAAACATTTTCAGTTTAATTTACTCGGGTTACGTTCCTAGGCCAAAGTCTTAATATTAATAGCGATGATAGCAGTAAAATAATTTTTAGCTGCTGGCTTATTGTGGGCAGTCTGGTTGACATAATTGTTCGGTTCTAACGTCTGTTAACGATGACATTATGGCTTGCTGTACTATCAGAAGCTTTTTTCTAACAATTTGTGGTTTGCAGTTTGTAAGTTCCTTATTTATGTTATAACTATTAGAAACTTCTTAGTTAAAGTAAAATTTTAAAGTAAATTACTTAGCATTTTAGTAATTATAGGTCTATTTTGTGTTCCAAATAATAGTAATAGTGCAGGATGGAAAAATACAGACTTCAGTTTTTACATTTAACGATTGTACAGGTCGAAATCATTGTATGAAATTTAATTTTGTGTTTTTTGTTAAAGATGACCAAAAAATAATAATTGTGCAGACCTAATAAGTATACTGAAGGGTGGAAAATTTCTCCAAAATTAATAATTGAACATGAGAGTATTATTTTATAATGTAGTAAGACTACTACTAGTTAATGTGATGTAGTATTTTACTGTATGAGATTACCTTAGTTAGAAGTTAGACTGAGAATTTAATGTTTTTATATTAATAAGTGTGCACACAATTTAAATTTATAGTTAATCATGGAACATTCCCTAATTATGTTGTTGAATAATACAAAATGAATGCCATACAGAATTACATTAGATATAAAATTCAAATATAAAATAATCATCGTCATCGAATATAAAACAATCATTTGTTTAGTTTTTTATCTGTAGTTTATTTTAAGTTGAACTTGGGATAAATTAATTTAAATGGCAATTTGACCATAGGGCTATGTACATGTGTTCTAGATTCCTAGTTTGGTTTTTTAAGCCTTTTTTTTGCCAAAGTACTTGTTTAGTGAAATTTACTTTTTTCTTATCTCATTATTCAATTATGTAAAACAAGTTATGAAATTGTAATTTATAAAACTTTTCATAATGTTCAGTGTTCATTTTATATGATATTTTGTAGAACCATTTCATATATTGAAAAGATTTATTCATTTGAAATGCTTTTTCAAAGCTGATTTGTAAATGTTATGTAAACATCTATTATTACACTGTATATATAACTGTTTTTGTAAATGTGTACACTAGAGATGATGTAAAAAACAATCAGTGTTGTATAATATGATTTAGGTTTAATAATACTTTTTAAATCAACTTTTTTTCTGCTAAGTCACTAAGGTGTTTAAGTGACATAGATTGACCATTGTTTTATTTAATGCAATTTTTAAAGTTCATAATCTGTTTTAAGGTAACAACAGTGCAGCGTCAGGTGTTTGATTTCTTGGGTTATATGTGGGCACCAATTATTGGCAATTTCTTCCAAATGATTGCCGTAATATTAGGAATATTTGGTGCTTACCAGCTGAAACGTAGCTACATCATTTTGGTAAGTGGATTACTAATAACTGTGCTGTGATTGTTTTTACTAGATGGTAAATTGTTTCTCTAAATATTTTTACAGTAATAAATTAGGTAGCAATAAATGAATCTCAGTAAGTCATTAATTAAAACAAAAGCACTTGGTCATTACATGTGTTTGTAATTATTATAATGTCTTTGGATTTGAAGATCTAGGTGTACAATGAATGAATTACAGCAGTAAATCAGAAGAGGTGCTCAAAATGTAAAAAGAACTGTTTCAGAGGTTTAAAGATGAAATAGATGTGCATCACTTTCAGGAGTGCTATATTTGGATGGATGCAGAAATGAATACTTAAAAGATTCCAAGGCATAAGGGTATATTTCGAGCAAGAGGTGGGCTGTATAAACTTATAGGGTACATTTCAGATTAAGGGTGTATTATATGCTAGAGAAGGACACTAATTATGAAGGCTAGGTTGTAGGATTTTTGGGAAGCTCTAAAGATATTCAATAAAGATAGTTTAAACTAAATTTGCATAGTCATGAGGTAGCTTATGAAATATGGAAAACAAATTGATAGGATAGCTGTGTCAATAAGGAGATTTAGATCATAATAAGTCAAATAATACTTTATATTAATAATCTGTCGGATTTAAAGATGAAGAAAGTAGGTTTCAGAATAAGCTTAGTTAATATACTATATTAGGAGTATCAGAAATAAAGTGGATGGGTTTAGGTTTTTAGCTGAAGTATATATTAGTAAAACTTGGTTAGCTTTGGAGAAAATTGATGATAATATTAAAGTTAGAATATTTAATCACTCAATCAGTATAACTTATTACCCATGACTAGCTTTTGATCATTACTGTTTTTTATTATTCTAGCAATCAATTAATCAAAATTATGGTTACTATTTTTGATTATTCCAATCTATCCAAATAATTGAAATATCATTTTGTTTGATACTAAGCACAAAGCAACATAACAGGGGTGCCTTGTGATTTGAGGGTCTGGAGTTTTATTCCATTTGCCACTAAACTTGCTAAGCTACTAAGGCTATTGACCACTGTTACTGATTTTGAACCAATGATTAGAGGGAAGACAACTGGCTAGCAGCATTCACTGCCAACTCTCTTAAATATAGTGTAAATGTACTTGTTTTTTTTTTTTTTTACCTTTTTTATGTTTCTAATTTATAACTGAATACCTGTATTCTTTAATGTTGTATAAGCAAGCATATATATAGCATATGGGCCAAGGGGAATCCATGCCTTTAAATTTTTTTTCACAATTAATAACTATTACTTAATGTTGTATAATTAGGTTCAGATCTTAGGGTAGTCAAAACTGTTGTCCATTTTTTTCAGAAGTTGATAAAAAAAACAGCTAAGCAGCCTTACTCTGCCATATAGTATCAAAAAGAAGCATTAGATGTCATAAAGCTTTTTTTTTTAGGTTTTATCAAACCAACACAGCTGGATTCTGCTGCAATTCACTTAAGGCATAAGGGAATAACTGATTGAATAACTGATTATTTCTCAGCTAATATAACAATATGAACATCAAATAAACTTTTTCATGGTAAAACTTCATGCTTTTCTAGAACTAATACATGAATGTGTTTAGACTTGAGATTTGCATTAATTAAAGTTAGTATTGTTTAGGATACCTAAAGCTCTTATAACATACACTTGTTACAGAATCAATTTTTCATTGCTTAGAAATTAGTATTCTCATGAAAAAAAATTTTTCGTCTTCTTTATATCTAAGATAATTAAAAATGAAATTGGTTTATCTATATAAATAATTACTTTTTGAATAAATTTGAAAACAGGTATCTGAGTATAAGAACTGCTTGCCTTGATGAAGCTGCAATGGTAAAACATTGGCAGAAATAAAATTTTTCTTTATTTTTATCTGAAGAGTGAAGTTTTTTCTTTCTAACTTTATTGTCAAAACAAACATCCTGTTTATCAATGCTACAATTTTATCTAAATAAGTTTAGAAATAATTAAACTATTTAATTTTGATAAAAAAATCTGTTTTTAACTGCTTTTTTATTTTCATATCAATTACATTACTAGAAATAAATATATCAGCTTTGAAATCACTGTAGTATAATCTAACTGAGCTAATCATTTACAAATTTGATTAATGTTATTTTAACTTTGATTATTTAGGTTACTTTAGGACCATATGGTCAATATCAATACATTTAAAAACTATATTACTTTAGCAGAAGTTTCTAACTTTTAAAAAGTTAACTGATTTCATCATTGTAAAAACAAAATATTACTGTAGTTAGTGTGGAAAAGTTAAATACTGCTATTACTTGTTAGCGCAATAATAATATATTATCTGAACAGACTTTCTAGTTTTTTCTTATTCATTCCCTAATGGTTTATGAACTTTGTAAGATAAAGTTATAACTATCAAACATTTTAATTTATAAATTTAATTGATGTTATTCTGACTTTTATGTTTTACTTTAAATTTAAGCTACTTGAAGACTGTCCAAAAATACTAGGTTTTTACCTTGGCTAAGTATGCATATAATAAATAAATTAGCTATTATTATTAATTTCCCTTAAGGCCCCAACATTGTCATAAACACCCTTATGAAGATGTAAGACAACACTGAATTGTCTGAAAATTGTACACTGTATTGTTGAAGCAAATGACATGTTTTTTTCTTCTTTTCATATTTGTTGGCTACTTGATAAAAAGTTTTGAGATATGAACTTTGAAATCACTTTTATATGTTAATTTTAACTATATTTCAACAATTTTTAACTTTCAACATTTAAATTTCAACATTTTGTCATTTTCTGACATTTAGTGTGATTCATGACGGAAAACAAAAGTTTGTATCTTTATTTGTTCACAGCTGCAAATATTTGACCTATAATCAAAACAACATACTTTATTGTTTTGTCTTTTTCTGCCTATCCCAAAAAATGCCTATGTTTTCAAAGAACCTATCACCTCTTGAGAATAATTATCCATTTCTTGATTTTCAAGCATTTCACATAGTTTTTGTACAGACCTTGGTTAAAACTTTGCTGCTATGGTGCCACATTAAGTGGTTTATTCATTTACTAATAACACACAGCTTTGAAAACTACTATAAAGAAGTTTAAATATGATTGAATATAGCAAGAATTATAATATAATGTCATAGTAGAGTAAATATATAAGTTTAAAGGTTTTTTTTGTTTCTGTAAATGTTACTTTTATTTGTGAATTGTGAGAGTATTTGTGTTAAATTATATCTATTTGAAAGCTATAGAAATTGTCTTCAGTGAGAAGACATGAGATAACTTGAGTTTGGAGATAAGTTGAATGGGCAACAAAGAAAACTTTGTCACAAGTTTTAACTCGCAAACAAACGTACGGTGTTTGGAAGAGGTTTTATCATCACTGGGTTCAAGTTAACCTAGACACAGGAATATATATATATATATAGTATAGAAAACAAAAAAGTCACATGATTTGAGAATGCTTAAGCCTTAACAAAGGTATCTTGTAGATGTTTTGTTCTTTCTTTAAAATTACTGGGTTTTTACTTTTAAATGGATATACTATGCCATTGATGGGATTTGGGAACAAAAGGGAGAGGACAAAAAAAGTGACTTAATTATTGTGACTGTTGTATACTATATCTGACAACAAAAAAAGTGGTGTACAACTGCTCCTTGTACCCTGTAATCCTGCCTATGTACTATGGTTTTATTTAGTTGCAATGTTTGTAAACATGAGTTGTTGTTTTTTCAACATTTACCAAATAAAATATAATTGTTATCAAGTCAGATAAGTTTAGTGAGTATTGTGAGTGACTGCTAAATATTTTGATAACCCAAGTCTTTATTGGATATTATTTTTGTGCTTATCCTATTCAAGTAGTGTACATAAATAAATTGGTTACTTAATTATTTATAACTGCAATTGTGGTGTTTGTAAACATAAGTTTTTTATTATCTTCACCAGCTAAAAGTATCATGAAATCGGATAAATTTAGTGATTAATGTAAGCTACTACTAAATATTCTGGTAATGCAAATCTTTATTGAATATTATTTTTATGTTTATTCTATTTAATTAATTATGTAGCTAGTTAGCCAACTTATTTATTTCTAATTGCAATCATAGAATATTTTAAATAATAACATTATTACCCTTATCAGTGATAGTTAAACATGTTATTATTATTTAACTAGCGTTTAGCCCATAAAAAATGATGGGACAAGTACTACCACCCCCACCCTATAGTATACCCTAACCTCACATTTCAGAGCTAACTGGAATAAATATATTTTGCGAAATCAGTGTTGACCAACAAAGAGGCAGAAAAGTACGGTTGAGGAAGCCAAACGTTGGTATATTCCTTTGTGAGCCAATCAAAATTAAGATCATTCATGAAATGAATATGTGGTGTATTCATAAAATAATTATTGGTAAAAATCAGTTAAATTAACTTCTAATATATATAGAAAAGCCAGTGCATTTTGGTAACACTACATTCCAACAATGGCTTTTATGTTTTTGCTTAGCAAAAAAAAGTATAACCTATTGTTGTTAGTCTGTGTACTAAAAGTATAAAATGAAATTATTGATTAAAGAGGTTTGTTTTTATTTAAAGCATTAGTGATATAACAGAAAATAGCTTAATTCAGAAACAATTTAAGCTTAAAATTGAATTGATATTTTTCACTTTCATGATAAATTTTGTGCACTTATCTGTAGGGCTAGGTGATCCCACACTTTGTCTTTACTTTCTAAGGTTTCATGCTTCCCCCCTCATGGCCCCATTGCATTCCTGTCACTAAAATCATAACAGGCAGACAGTAATTGAACTATTTTATGTGTATAAATGCATTTTGGTTTTTATGACTTCTCCTGTTTCGAAAAACAAGCGTGATGTGACACACACTGGTTTTTATAGAGGATAGATAATCAGTTTGTTTGATTTACGGAATATCGGTGGAATATTACTGCATATGTTAAAAACAAAATAGTGGTGAGTGCA